AATCATCAGATCGTTTGCCAAAGTTAACTTATCAATCCAAGTAACTACAATTGGAGTATGGAAAAATTATAAGACAACCTTATTGCTATATCACCATGATAATACGTTATTCAATTAATTTCATCTTATCAGTGTGAGATCCATTTTTGAAGGCTTTGTTTGTGAAAATCCCTCCATGTATACATTTGTAATTTAACCTTATTGATTCCTTCAGTTGTACAGTCTGTTATTCTGTTCGATTTAATTTTGAGATGATAAGATTTGTATTTTCTCATAGTTTCTATTTCTTTTGCCTTCATTGAGTTTCTATGTTTCTTTCTGAACTGCATTGATGTTCTTTAGGCTGATACTTAGTCATGGCGACAGCCATATTGATTTGTTCCTCTTTCGATTGTGTGGCTTGCTTTGACTTTGGATTTGAATTGACATTTGTGTCTGTGTGCTAATGTGGTACAGCAACTTGAACTGCTGTAATTATGTGCAAAGTTCTACGTTGCTGTTGACGATGATGATGAATTGAAGCACTCTTCCAGAATAGGAAACACTCTGTGTTATAAAGCAACCAAATATTATCTTTCGAGCGAATCTGATCTATTCAGCAAGGATAGAATATCATTTACTCATTGCTGTTGATTTGATTTGATTGAACAACCGTTGGTGAAATAACTGAGTAGTAATATTGTTTAGGTAATGATGTAAATTTATATTTATGATGAATATTAGAACCGTCATTTACCCAATCACTTGTTTCGATTTCAACTGGGCAAGACGTGTATCTAAGCTACCTAGACATTTATTACTCAATCCAAACCTCAGTTTGGATCCTACACCAGTAGTAATTAAAGGCATTTCAGTAGCGAAGAAGTAGAAATATCACATATTTCTAATTAGTGCTAATCAGTTATTCGAAATTTCATAATTTTCACTGCTTAGTTGATACAGGTTCATGAAGGAACAGTCATTTCTGAAACTATTCTTATCTGGAAAATTTTTAATATATCTTGCATTGATGTAATCCACTAACGAAATAATAAATAATCTGACAAGAGCATTTCAGATGTTTTATTATCTATCAGAACTACCACTCGGCGTCAAATTGTCTAGTAGAAAATTTTAAAGGAAAAGACAATATATTAATTCTAGTTTATAAATGTTATTAATAAAAAGTAAAATACACTGACTGTGAAATGTTTTATCCATGAGTTTATAAAACACGTTTACGATAGTGCATTAAAAAAATATCCCTTATCAACATCAAAATAATAATGGAAATGTGAATTTTCCAAAATTACAATTATTTTCATAAACTAGGTGCGAAACATAGTATACAGCTTTTCGATTAGAGTGATGGAGATTAGTGTTTTACACATTTGAAATCATCAATCAATCATTGTTAGACCACCATCAGAAACCTGGAAGCACTGGACGGACGTTTCGTCCTGGTATGGGACTAGCTTCGTGAGGAAATTCTCAGAGTTCTAGTGAGGAGACATGACCGATGGAGTTCAAACCTGTCGGGTGTAGACAGTAACTACCAAAGACAAATGAGTGAGGTCGCTCAAAAACCCTAGGTCAATCAGATTTAGACATTAACACTGTTGGATGCCGGCCTAGTGGTCCGATGGTTAGGCGTTCGCGCACAATGCCGAAGGTCACGGGTTCGAATCCTGCCAGGTGCAGGAGTCGTGGATGCGCACTGCTGATGAGTCCCATGTCAGGACGAAACGGCCGTCCAGTGCTTCCAGGTTTCTAATGGTGACTTAACAATGAATGACTGATGATTTCATTATCTTAACACAAACCCGCAATATATATAAAAAAGCAGTACATATTTCATGTATCGATTTCAATCACGAGTAATGATTGACATCTGTTAACCTATGATATCATGTGAAAAACAATACTTTATGCTTTATTCTAAATAGTCTTCGTTACATTATTGAATAATGATAACAACATATTTTGTGAAGTTATATCTTCTGTCTTTGAACACTTAAACCATCTTTGATGTAATAAGAGTAAATGAAATAAATATGAAAAGAAAAACAAACAGAAAATAAGTCAAAGTATGTACCATTTATATGTTCAATATATATTGTTTCAATACTTAGTCAAATGAACTGATGTAAATTTAAAGGTTAAATTTTCAATCATAGTTAAATGACCCGTTAATAATGAGGTAAACAAAAAGATGGGTGGCTTACGTAAAATCACTTTGATTATATATTTAAGTAATGACGCTTCTTTTGACACATGTGATCAGAATTAGTTTGTTGTCTTCATAACCATATTGTTATTGTATCAACAGTACATAAAGTAAACTCTCCGGTAAACTGAGTGTAAATAACCCAAAATTTGAACTTTCATGAAGTTAGCTACTTCCGAATGTATAATTTACTCAATGGTTTCGTAGCATTTGTGTTTTGAAAATGTTTGCTATGCATCAAAATCACTATAGAAACCATTACAGTGAAACAAGAGAGTATTTGGTAATCGTAACATTTTAATTAGTCTTTCTTTAGAGATATTTACTTTCAGCACACCAATTCCAAGATTTCTTTGAAATTAGAACAGATAAATGTTAGACCGCCATTAGAAGCCTGGAAGCGCTCAGTGGTCTTTTCGTTGTGGAATGGACTCCTCAGTAGTGAGCATCCACGACCCTTGCACGCAGTATTCAAACGTAGATCCTTCTTTCCTGCGCGTGAATGCTTAAACTCTTGACCACTGAGTCAGCATCCAGCGGTAATAATGTCTATCTTCAATCAGTCCACAACAATGCGCGATCGTGATCTATTATCTTTGACAGGTAACCGTCACAGCCAAACATTTTGAATCTCACTGTTCTCAGCTTTTTACTCGAACTGTGAGAATTTCCTCACAAAACGATTTACTAGTGAGAACAAGATAATTATCAGAATAGGGTTGTGAAGATCATTGATCGGTTCATGATTTCAATGAAACTCAATAATCTTTACAATCTTATTCTGATAGTACCAAGATGTTTTTCAGCAGTAGTAGTTTGAGAGGATTGAACAAATGAATAAATCACCTAAAAATGAAATTTACTGTGAAATTATTTGCGTTTCATTATTTTTTTGGTAAATCAACATTAAAATTACAGCACATCTTATTAACAATCAAAAACTCTTGGAACTACTCACTGCTATTATAATTTAATAAATAGATGACTTTTTTACCTGATGTATGTTTAAGTTGGTCGCGCTTATAAAGTCGAAAATTCGAATGGATGGAAGTATGTTTAAATAACAAGTCCTTTAAAAAATGAAGTCCGCTTGCTGGATTCACATTTATTGTACTATGGAAAGATACTCTCACTTTCGAAAATAATCAAAGAAACTATTGCATTTACGCTTCGATTATAACATTCAAAGATCATCTGATCAAGGACTTGTAGAGGTTGTTTTCATAACTTTAACTCCAAAATGTAGTTATTCGTTAACTGTGTATTACTTAGTAGGTTGATTCTTTTAATCTAACTATGAATTCACCTGAGATTATTCAGAACCCGGAATATGAGCTGTGTTCAGAAAGCGCGTATTGTTAACAGTTAATTAAATTCACTGTGAGATGAGTAAGTATATTAGAAAGTGAGTGAGTAAAGTGGAAGAACGTGAGTATATTTTATAAGTGCTAATGTGAGTGGGGTTACTGATTACCTAACTTTACAACCAATGAGAGATTACGTAATGATTAGGATTCAGACATTCATTAAATCAGATTGACACATTCTAATATTTAGTGGATCAAATGTCACAAATACAGTCAATAGGTAATAAAATTTAAACAGGTTTCTCTTAGTTTTGTTTATAGGACCTGGAAAAATTGATCAAAACTTGCTGAGGGCTTTCTGAATACTTAGATCAAAACTATTCAAAACTATGAAAAATTGAACAGCTATACAATGTGCATCTAAAATTAATCAATATTTAATACATACAAATGTATGTGAGATCTAGTTTAGCATGTTTATCATCTCGAAGTGAATACGCTAAATAACAAATCGATATCCAACAACTTACATTTACAACTTTAACCAATTTTCACATAAAGCTTTCCGGAATTAGTTATAACATCAACTCTGCCAGGAGTCCTTCTAGGGGTTACTACCGGTCCTCAATTCAGTTAAAGGGGAAGGTCGAGAAATCCGTTAGAAATCCTATTCTATAAAATAGAACTATCTTAAATAAACGTTAACCAAAGAGAGTTTTTATGTACTTATATACGACTGGAATGAATTTTAAAGTCATAATCTCTTGTTTATACATGAATAGTACAGATTGATGGCCTTCAAAGATGAATGCTGTTAAATATTCCTCAAATAAAACTATTAATTAATTAATTGATTATATATTTATAAATTAAATATCAATGATTAGAATTAAACTAACTATACATACAAAAAACAAAAATGCAACATAAAATGAAAATGATGAAGATAAGAATGAAGAAAGTAAACATGATTATTTCAATGGTAAATACATTAAAATTTTCATGATAATCAATGTATTGATTGGTATGTATAGCTTTGAACAAATAAAAAGGAAACATGTCGATAGAACACAAACAGGACTAATCTGTTCTACCTGTTGATAACTGATTACATCCCCTAAGTACGTCGCGTAAATGTTCGAAAATAAATTAGATAAATGAAATCTGTGTGCATGTTTCTCATTTCAACCAAATGAGCTCATTGTTATTGGCGAAGATTAGTTGTTAAGGAATAATGAGTTTTTCATACAAGTACAATTAATAAAATACAGAAAATATCATTAAGACATCATCAAGACAACAAGTTTTTATGAGTAAAATTGCACAACAGAAATATCTGTGAAATATGTACAAATATAAATAGTTTAATATTTGAATCAAATGATGTCATGCACAGATTATATATATATATATATATATATATATATATATATATATATATGAGCTTCCATTTCATTTTTTTCCAAAGAATAGTGATACTGTTTGGCTCATAGTTGTCCACAAGGTGTAGGATAATGTTTTATTGTTTTTGGAGCGACTAATGAATTGATACCAAATGTTAGAGGCTTTTTTATTTCATGAAATGCTGTAAGTAAGGAAAAAGATGAAAAATCACAGCAATAAATAATCACAATAATAGAGGATATAAAAATCAACAATATAACTGTGTTAAAACCAGATAGTCAGTTAGATTAAAAGATAAAACTCTCTCTAGTCTAATCACTTAACTATCCATCTGGCAACCAATAAAAAATTCTGCTGAAGAGTATTTTCCGTCGTGTTTTATTCTATAACTGGGAAACTTGGTCTTTAAAAGTGAAAGGAATTCAGAGGCTACTAATAACTGATCATAAATGCTTTCGAGAAGTCGTACGTGTATATTGAGACCATCGGATGACCATTGAGGAAATTAAAAATAAACTATCAAAAAAGATAATAATTCTATTGATCAAATAGTGAATCCTCATCGACTCAGATGGTTGAGACTTGTATTACATCATCACCTCATCTGAAATCTACGGTAGTGTGCAAGGTTCACTGCAATTTATCAGTTGAATCGGTTCCATTATTTGACTGTTTGTGTAATAAATGTTCGACAGCTAACGTTCTTAAATTTACATAATTTTAGTTACTATAAGCATTTAATAATGAATATTATTTATTCAGCGTTCATAGTAAGTTAACACTAAAATGTAATAAACAGACTAATTTATCCTTGAAATAAGTGTTTGGTCGTGATCAGCTCATGATTAAATTTTCATAACAGTATAAAAATCCTGTTCGAAATGCTTATTTTCACATTAGTTGGACTGATAAAATTAAAAGTAGTCGGCCGATTTAAATTGTAACTTTCATTGAATTGTGAATTCTTTCTTTCGTGGATTGTGTTTATACACAATTATACAACTATTACATATCCCCCCATATTTGAAATGATTCTATCGAGTTTAACTTAATCACTGTGCGTAATAAAAAGACTTCATATAGAGTCATCAACTAGATAAAGAAATGTCAATGATAAACTTACATAATTCTTGATGCACGTCTGCATGTTTTTTCGATGTATTTATTACAGGATTCATTTTTTGATTATTTGGAGTAAATTCAAAACCTGGTTCATTTTTATACCTAAACTCATCAACTTGAATCAATTCATTGACTTTAGGTGAATGTATAAAGTTTTTAAGCAGATTTCTTCGAAGAAATTGGCTCATACTTTTACGTAATTCTTCTGACTGTACTTGAAGTTTACTTAGTTTACTGTTTAAACAAATTAAATTTCGTGACCGTTGAATATTGAACTCGACTGTAAAATAAAACGAACAAAGTTAAAGTTGTTTCCTAACTATTTTATTAAATAATCCTAAACTAGAGATATATTTCACGAAACAATATTAGTTGAAATTAAACTTGCTAAAAAACAATGTATAAATATATTGTCATGGAGATTACGTCATGAACTGAAGTTATTTAGATAACCAGTGAAAATAAGTAAGTAATGCACAGTGGTTTAATCCAAGTAACTGTCAACGAATGTCTACGGGATCGAATCTGACCCACTTCATTCTTGAGTTGAAAGATTAACCTTTAAAATAATGAGTTGAAATTCATTGATTTGTCTTTCTAATTCCAATTAATTCATAATATTGCTCGACTGTCTCCTAATTCCATCAGTGAGTAGCTGCTTCACTCTTGACGTAGTTACCAACCACTGATCCTAGCATCTCATCAGAACTCCATGAATTACCTCTGAAAATTAGTCACCTGCAAGCACACAATCATTATTAGTAAAAATCGGTTTATGAAGATAGTTGAGTGTTGGAATTCAAAACTTTGATGCACCTTAGTTATTCTTTTTTAGTCTAAAAACTTTTGATGACGTAATGATCAAACCGATGGGGAATTCATTAGTTCTGGTCAGTTAAATTTCACTTGTGAATAAGTTGTAGTGAATTTTATTGACTGATGATGAATGGTGCTCCACTAAAAACATCCGCACTACCAGGGATGTAAGTAAATCAGTTTAATGAGTTTTAGATGAAATAAAATTTAATTTTTAAATTTTTAATTAATGGCTACTAAAAAGTGACTTCATGATTGAATTAATTATCAATTATCACATCAATGTCTAGAGTAGATTTAGAACTGAGAAGTAATTGATTATTTGATGATTAAGACTTTATTAGAATTTCATAGAAATACTGATATCTAGTCAGTTTAAACAAAATATGACAAAATGCTCAGATCAAGTCCGTAGTATCAAAAACCAATGATGTGAACAGCCCACTTATTAAAAAAATTAACGATTATCTCTACTCCGCATCTCAGTAAACAACAAGTTAATGTTTGAAACGTAAGATGTTTAGTTTGAGTTACACCAGTCTGAAGATAGACATAAAATGAATTGTACACAACCCGACTCCTCATAATTCTTTTATTTAATTTACGTACTGGCATTTATATGCTTACATTCATATCATTTCATCATGATAAGAATGATATGAATAATAATAGTAATAAACACTAATTATTAGCATAAAAGTTTCACTATACACTTACTTACCGGCTAACTTTTCACATGATTTCTTCAATAATACATAAATATCTGCTACATATCCAGAATGAACAATATGATTCAATGTAATCAATTCATGTGGATACTCGTCAACCAGATTAATATATAATATATGACATCCTATAAATTTTTGAAAAAAAATTTAACTAATACATATATAGAAGTAATCTTATGAAATTTTATGAAATGATCAATTTGTATACGTAAATCAGGAGACTATTATCAGTTAGTGATTGTAATAATATGACTCAATTTAAAAGAAAACACATAGTATAATTATGTTTAAAAATATTTCCCACAGTTCGTATCTGATTTCAATCTATTTTAAAGCAGTATAAATGATCACTAAAACGTATGGAGTGAATTGAAGTAATAAGATTTAGAAAATAGTGGTATACCCACACATATATTTGGATAGAAGGTGGCTGAATAAGTGGAAACTGGTTTTTCTATTTTCCCAAAAATATAATAGTCGGTCGAGTGAAAAAATGCTTTCTATCACAGAATGATGCTAACTAACTAAAAAGTTATTGAAAACCAGGAAGTGTAATCAAACATGTGCTGAGCACTTTTCAATGGTGTATATTCATCACTTTGATCTGTGCTAAACCTAAGAGGCTCTACTTCTTCAATAACCATGATATCATTGAATCATTAAACTGAAGTTATTCAATAGCTTGTACTTTCCAAAATGTATTAAGCTTACATAATAGTCTGATCATAAAATACCAGTCATTGACAGCTAACTTGTTTCCAAATTAGTTGATTTCAACGATCATAGTTCTCCAATCAAAAATCAAATTGTTCATTTTGAAGTCACTACTTAAGACATAATTATTACTATTCAATTAGATGATTTCATGGTAACATTTTTTATACTAAAATAAGGGAGTTCGTGTATATTTTTAGACTTTAATGTTAACGTCATGAATTAGTAATAATAAAATGCGGAAAAACTTCACAGAGGTGGATAGTCATGTATTCATTCAGCGATGATTTCGTTATGAAGGCTCTCTGAACCGGTGGTATACAATCTGATTATTTCTTTGAATTTAATTTTCAACTCAAAGTGACATCTACGTCGTACAAAACTAAATATTTAACAGGAAATGACTAAACATTATTAGGAGATTTCTATTTGTTGTATACAGTCAACTGTAAATCATAAATAATGGGTACTTGATGAATAAACCATTAGTGTGTATAATAATTGTCACTCTCACGTTTGTATCATAATCAAATTCAATAATAGTTTTGAATGAGTTCAACGTTACATTCTAAAGCATGATATCAATCAGAAACCTACGATTATTTTTAATGATTCTAAAGTTTAGAATATAATAATATTTAACAAAACCTATAAAATGAACTTTATTGAGAATGGATTCACTAACTTCATCCATATAAATTGTTTTTGTAAAATACTTATTTAGGACGCTCGTTCACTCCTAGTGTGGTGCGAGCTACTTGTAAGTAGTATATGACGTGAGTGTCAACGTAATGTCTGGCGGCAGAAGATGGGGGAAGATCAAGAAAGGAAGAGTTAGAAAACAATGGAATTTGTATGAAACGCATGAATAGTGACAATGGATTGATGTTTGGCAACAGGAACAGTCCAGTTCGATATGATGAACTGATATTTTGCAAATTAACGATTTACGATATGGTTTTCCGATTTTACTGAGTAACCGAGTCTTACTGTTAATGGTTCACACTGAAACTAATTAAAAGAAATAAAATACCTCACACACCAGAAACTATAGAAATTTACCAGTTTTCACTTTCGTTTTTATATTGCCATTAAATATTTCATTTACTGTTGTCATTGGACAATAGATATCATTATTTTCAACTAATTTCACATTTTTCATAATACTTGCTTCTTGTATAAAAATAATCCAATCAGATTTGTTAATAATTTCTTCAGAATTACTTGTATAATTCAAATTCAAAACAGTATCAATTCCATCGGGTAAATATTTGTCAAATACACGAATTGTATAATTAAATTTTTCTAGTTGACGTATCACGGTTAAACTGATTAGACCTGTTGGTAAAACAAGAAATCTATGGGTTAGATAAAATGGAAAAAAACTAACTAATAATTGATAGAGAACACAATTCATTTATATTTAACTAAGATCTTTTATGATGTAGATCTTTTAAATTTGATGATCCAGAAGATGATATCATTTGGACAGGTAGTTCAAACGGTAATAGTCAAACCTCCGATCATAATAAACTCTACATTTATCATTTACTTAAAATTTGAGTTCACTTTCATCGGGAAAAAAAATTTCAGTTGATGAAACACAGTAATTCAATCACTCAGTCAGCTAGACATATACAGTGAAGAAGCTGAGCTATATACGTTCATCAGTTCGAGTTATTATATCACTTTTTTCATAATCCAACTACATAAATTTTGTAAAATGAAATTATCACTTTTACAGGAGGTCACGTGAAAATGAAATAGGTCAGCCATAACGTCTCCCAATATGAAGCTTTAAATATGGTTTAGGACACCACAGAGAGAATTAGTTTTCCCAAGGCTCAACTTACGAGAAGCCTATGTCAAACAAGATTTAATGTCGATCACACTCAAACAACTGAAACTTTTCTGTATTTCAAATAAATATGTTTAACCGATCATACGTTGTCTTTTACAATCGTTGAATTATATGATCAAAAACCCAAAAATGATGTTTTAAAATCATCTTTAGAACAGGATATTTGATTTTAGTACTGCATAAGAAAAGACTAACTATAAGACTAATTCAATGTGATTATTTCTCATTTTAAAATGAAATGAGTTTTGTTAAATTCCATTATAAATATTCTATTATTAGGTGATAACTATTATTTTTTACCCATAAAAATCATGAATCAGTCTATATTAGACCATCATTCGAAACCTGTAAGCACTGAATGGAAGTTTCGTCCTGGTATGGGACTCATCACTCAGTGCGAACCCACAACTCCTGCGGCTCACAGGATGCGAACCCAGGGCCTTTGATCTTGCACGCAAACACCTTACCTCTGGATCACTGGGATGGCATCCAACGGTGTCAGTGTCAATCTAGGGATTTTGTGTGACCTAACTCATTTGTCTTTGGTAGTTACTGCCTAAACCCGACAGGGCTGAACTCCAGTGGTCACGTCTTCTCACTAGAAATCCGAGAATTTCCTCTTGAAGCTAGTCACTAGTGAGCATATTGTACAAAATTCGACATGTACTTAACATAAAATTAGTTTTCTGTTCAATCTATTTAAATGTTACTATTTATTACAGAATAGAAAATCTATGTCAGAACCGTGGTATTATTTCCAGAAAATACAAATGTCCTTTACAGGTTTCTTTTCTCATCATCATCATAGTATGGGCGTCTACTGCTGAGAACAAGTTGTAGATATACAGTGACGAGACTCACTCTCACGGTAACATATTTTGAATTACTTAGCAAACTAAGAAATTTAATTTGATTTCTACTTAATTTCCCATTGCAACACCCATATCAAAATATACTTTGTTAAATAGATTATGTAGGTAGGTACATAGAGTAGTTTTGACTGTTGCAAACAAGAAGTGCCCCATCAACATATCTGCAATCAAATGTAATTTCTCCAGTTATTTACTTAAACCTCATTTGTCTTTAGGTTTTTATTTAAACTCTATTTTTGTATGACCTCAATCCTGTTTATGCACAAATATTTATATGCGTTACGGGGTTGTGAAGATTGTTAAGTTACACACTTTTTTTTGAAACCATGAATCGATCAATGTTAGACCACCATTAGAATCCTGAAAGCACTCGACGGCCGTTTCGTCCTGGTATGGGACTCCACAGCAGTTTCAAAAAGAATGTGTAACTTAACAATCTTCACAAACCCGTAATGCAAATTACCTGTGCTCAATAGTGACTAACTTCGTGAGGAATCTTCTCCGAGTTCTAGTGGAAGACGTGACCATAGAAGTTCAGCCTGTTCGGGTGTAGGCAGTGTCTACCGAAGACTGTGTATGAGGTTGCGCAACTACGTGAATTTGATCAAGTTAGACATTAACACCGTTGGGTACCGGCTCAGTGGTCTAACGGTTAGGGCGCTTCGCGGACAATACCGAAGTTCCTGGGTTCGAATCCTGCGGACTGCAGGAGTCGTGGGTGCGCACTGCTGAGGAGTCCCATACCAGGACGAAACAGCCTTCCAGTGCTTCCAGGTTTCTAGTGGTGGTCTAACATTGATCGATTCATGGTTTCAAAACAGAAATATTTATATGTAGTCATTACTATTATTATTACCATTAACTGCATTACGTGATTGTGAAGTTTGTTAAGTTACTCACTGAAATTATGAATACAATCAATGAACTCGTATTTTGGTTATGGCGGCTTTTTTAAAATACAAATTTTTGTACAAAACAAAGTAGTCAATCAACAATTAACAAACTTACCTAAACCAATTATACCAATCTGAATATTTCGATCAGTATCTGACTGAGTTGCACAACTATTCAATACAATATTTTCTACTGTCTGCTCATTATTACTAGTAGTATGTTTGAATGGAGTTTCATTAGTGTGATTGTATAGTTTTTTATTTATTTGCAATAACCGATTGATTGTCGATTGTGAAGGTGATGATGCTGGTCGTTTAACTATAGGCTGATTTTGTTCACTCATATAAATTGACATGATATCATAATGTGTGGATAGAATGATGCCAATAATCAAGTCAGCTGATTTATTTACGTTTAATTCCAAAGGTACAATATGTAAATTTATTCCTAAATTTTAGTTTTTTTGAAAAAAAAGAGTAATTACACTGAACGTAAGTAGTTGGAAAAATATTTACATTTTGCAATCTTAAAAATGTGGAAGGAGGAATTTTTTTTTGATGAATCAATGTTCATTCAATCAATGTCATAAGAATGTTTCACAATGTTACAGACCAATAGGTTTTGTACAGACATTTACAAGGAACTACCATCACGTTTCTATCCATTGTTTTGATGAAACCGAGATAATGTTAAACAATGTCAACAGATTATAGAATGTTGAAATATTTATTGCATGGACATTGGAATTTTCAACAACTAACCAACGTTCACAACCAGTAGTCAATAAATAGTGACATACACTTTACTATGTCCTTTCAGTGGTTATTTAAACAATACTAACTTATTTAGAATTGATGAGTTGTAGCTAGGAGTGGAATCAATGGTGAACTTTGATTTCTGTTTAGGACATACCTGCATATCAGTCTTGATTTCGATGTTAATATCCTCAATAAATTGCGGCACAACGCTAATATCAATTTCTTATGTACGGAATCCACCAAAGTCAACAAATATTCATCAAAATCCGGTTTGTAATATCAACAACAAGACAACTCAACTTTCTAGTGATTATGACATAAATGTTAACCTGTGGACAAAAAGTCTTTTAAAAATTACAAAAATTGCTCAATATTCTTTCAGGCTCTTGAATAAAATTGAAGGCTTTGTAGTGTGTGTACGAATATGTCAAGCTCATAGGGTTTGTTCTAGCCAACCTTGTCTTTCGACCATGTCAATCATTCGTTTATATTTTAGTTGTTTTTCTTCAAGTGTACATGTGCTGCTTACTTCACTTACTACTTGTCTATCTGACAATAAATACCTAGTTATACTTCATTTAATTGAGCTGGATCACTTGCTTTCTCCAATTCGCTTCGCTTTGATTTTACACTTGGTATTTTCGTGACTGTCTGCATGAACAATTGCATGAAATAAACTTTTTTTTTACCGAATCATTATCTGGCTTCTTATTACCGCCCTCGCATAAACGGGGTTGGCCCAAGGGAAGATTTATTTCACATCACATTCAAATGTTCGTCCAAAGTGGAGTCATATTGCGGGCCACTAATGTAGTGAGCCCTACTTCGAAGTTAACACAACCACTAAAGCTTGTTTTAATAACTATGCGCTATCGGGAAGGTGAAGATTTCGTTCAGTTTTCTTTTTCTATGAAGTGTTGTTTCCTACAACATGTGATGTGATTAGGATAGTGGACGATAAAAAACTAAAGATCTCATGACAGTTGACTGTTATTAATCAGTCATCGATGCATTTTACAAACTTCCAATGAATAATCAGTAGTTCTTTTGTGATGATAATATAGATCAGATAAGCCTAAATCTGATATTTCACTATGGGATGTTAGCTTTGATACTACTCGATGACTACAATCTTTCTAATTAATTAAAGACGAAAAGTATTATGCTAGGCAGTTGATGTCTATTATAGGAAGTTCAAAATTTAAGTCTCATTCAAGTTGTCACTCTCTAACAGGGCATATCCACAACTGTTGGCGTCACTTGATGTAACTATTACAAAAAACCGCTACTGATCGATACAAGCTACCAATTATTTTCTTCCAGGACAGAAATATGCACATTAACTTATCACTTCGTGTTATTCAATACTGTATTGTCTAGTCTTTCGTATTTAACAAATCCTATCAACCAAATGATATCAAGTGATTTATTTTCCTATAGAAAACATAAATGATAAAATTTACTAAATAAAAAAAATAGCTTGAGAGTAACATAACTATTACATTACATAGTTATTTAATTGTCTACTAATTATAAAATTAAACAGTAAAAATATGTATTATATTTAACTCAAACAAATCATAAGTTAAAATATGACCTTATCATATTCAATTAATATTGAACAATGATACTAAGGTCAACATAATGATCAATCATAACCTATTATTGAACATTGAAAATGTGTTGAACTAAATTTAACTATTCTTGTTAATAATCATCATCATCATTTCATTATTAACTAACCAACTAATTAATTCAATTTTATTTTTTATTTATTTCTGAAATTTAATCTCAAACTATTCCAAAAAATAATAAGAAGTGAACAATGAATTAATTGGTTTAATCTTTATTTTTTCCAACTTTTTTTTATATTCTATTCAAAAATTTATTGAATTCATTGTAACATATCACAATAACAATAAAATAAATTTGGCCTTTTTTCTTCGTTTATTATTTTTTTTTAAAAAGAAAAGTAAGGACAACAACAACAAAAACCTACTACTACTAATTAGCAAAAAAAGAGGCTTGATACTAGTCGAATAATAATTGATTTTATTTAGAATGAAAATGGGAGATACATGTGTATACATGTACATTCACCACTATGTATATTGTGTGGCTGTACTTGTATTATAACGCCTAGTTGAGTGTAGATTGGAATTGGTAAGAAAAACATGTGAATAATAACATCATATATAGTGAAGTATACTCATTAAAAATTTGTTTTTTTTTTTGAGGACTTCCCACAATACAATAAAAGTTGATTTTTTAACTGGACTAGGCACAATTTATATTTGATGATAGAGAATGGAAAGTGATCAATAAAAACAGTTCTAAATGTAGGTGTTGAATTAGTTAATACTTGTTGTCTACTTCTACTCTGATAGAAGTTGTGCTTCATAAAGGATTCACATTCACACTTTCACATATTAATGTTACCAGTAGGAAGTAGTGATTCTGTGGCTTATATATTAAGGGATAAAGATTAGTAAAGTTTGTAAAACTACACTCTAAGATCAAGAATAAAATTGTTTTACTGAAATAAACCGACTAATTAAATCATTTCTATTGGAATTCGAAATGAAAATATATTTTACTTATATATGCGGAAAAATGAATCATCAGTCATCCATAATACTGGATGCTTAATTTGTATCAAATATCCAACCTAGATTCTACAATGATCACTTTTAAATACTAGATTTTTGATACTTTCTCCTAACTTTGATCATTTCTGGAGTTTAGTTTGGATAATTTGACTATTTATTGATACTTTGTTAGTTCGAGTTCAATCGAAATGTATTTGATCTAAACAATGGATATTGAATATTGAGTCTAATAAACAGGAAATATACCCATATATTGTATTCAAAATAAAACACTCCTGTTGATTTGACAAGTTGACATTAAAAATTACCTATATTTCTATATAATCAATTTGTCCTCTGCGTAGAATGTCTGCATATGATAACTAGCCTACAACATGATGAACAGTGATCTTCTTTCTTTTTATTAATTATGTTACATAACGATTGATTCTTTATAACAATATTATGATACAATGCGAATCAATAACCAAATTACTTATCACACATTGTATTTATCACGTAAATGTGTGTTTACGAATATCATTAACTTTTTTGTTTTTTCCCAGTTTTTTTTCGCTCTACGAGAACTTGGTTACACAAGTCACACCCAATTTAATTCATTACCGTATTCATTTGTAACAGGATTAGACAAAAGAAAGAGGAAGAGCTAAAGTTTGAGTGAACTGGGCGAATGAAGCAGTGAGGAGTCTCATTATATAAGTAAGAGGAAAAACAACAAAATTATCTACATGATACAAGTTGCACTCGTCTAAAATATTTTTTTCTAGTTCGAATGAGTCATTTAGTTAGTTATCAAACATGACACAAAGTAGATTTAGCTAATGAAATATTTACATGAGAAATAAAATGTCTAATTTGGGGAAGTCAACCATATTATTATTATTATTGAAGAAGAGTGTTGAAAAACAAGTCAAGATAATTGGAATTAGTTGGAATTTAACATATGCACTAGATGTGATGTGCAAAAGCAGAAAGAAATTTCTCTTAACGATGGCCTAAAGAAATCAGTTATTTGTTTATAGGTATTCGATAAATGTAATTCTGCATGTATAGTATGAAAGATCCAAACTGAGGTTTGGATTGAGGAATAACTGTCTAGGTAGCTTAGATACACTTTATTGCCCAGTTGAAATTAAAACAAGTAGTGATTGGGTAAATGACGGTTCTAATATTCATCATAAATATGAATTTACATCATTACCTAAACAATATTACTACTCAGTTATTTCACCAACAATTGTTTAATTAATCAAATCAACAGCAGCAAATAAATGATATTCTATCCCTGCTGAATAGATCACATTCATTCGAAAGATAATATTTGGTTGCTTTATAACACAGAGTGTTTCCTATTCTGGAAGAGTGCTTCAATTCATCATCATCGTCAACAGCAACGTAGAACTTTGCACATAATTACAGCAGTTCAAGTTGCCGTACCACATTAGCACACAGACACAAATGTCAATTCAAATCCCAAGTCAAAGCAAGCCACACAATCGAAAGAGGAACAAATCAATATGACTGTCGCCATAACAAAGTATCAGCTAAAACAACATCAATGCAGTTCAGAAAGAAACATAGAAACTCAATTAAGGCATAAGAAATAGAAACTATGACAAAATACAAATATTATCATCTCAAATGGAATGGAACAGATTAACAAAATCTACAACTGAGGGAATCAATAAGGAAATATTACAAATGTATACATGGAGGGATTTTCACAAACAAAGCCTTCAAAAATGGATCTTACATGGTATTAATTGTAAAATTTTCGAAAATATTGACAGCCGTTTAGTCACATGTAAAAATAACTTTGAAATCAACATATTACAACTATCCGCTCATAAAACAAAATATATACCTAATGCGATGGATCGAGTTCTTAAAATCGCCTATGAGAAGATTAAAAAAACTTTTAAGTTAAGTATATTTCATCTCCATACAACAGGCCAGTGACTTTCTAAACTTAGCAGTTCAGTAGATAATGAGCTAGACGTTTGAAACTAAAGAAATTTAATTCCAGTCCCAGTGTAGATACCAACACAGGGATTCAGGTCTATCAGGTCCGAAACGGGTCCCAAACAGAACGAAACATACATTTTGAGTTTCACTGTTATTCAACATCAAACGTTAAAATATACTTAATCGCACTGAAAGTCGATGAAATCTATTTTCAATGATGACATTTAAACTTTAACTTATCGTCTTATTTGTTCAATAACAATTTAACTTACCAAGATTTTTAAATTCATTCCAACAAGCAGCATAAGCTAAACATTCCGGAATGTAAACATTTTTCAAATTAGAGAAATGTTGAAGACATTCAACTGACAATACAATTTCCTGATAAGTAACCATATCTGAAACATTTTGACAAATCTTGATAGTAAAGTATAGATGAAAAAAAGATGGCAAATGTTAATATACATATATATAAATATAGTTATTTATTTTTGTTATATTCCTGTTTATACTACTGAAAGCCTAACTTTAGTTATTAAATAACATGAATGTAATGTTACTTAATTTCCTAAACAGAAAATTTTTTTCAAAAATATGTTTTGTTTACTGTAGCTAAGAGAGAATTAAAAAGTTATCTTGATTTAAAAAAAAAGAATTCATAAAACGATACTATCTTTTCTGTGATTAATAATACTGGCAGTTATAATAATATTATGTTAGCTGTGAACAAAAATGTTACATTTTCCTAATATGCTCTTTAAAATACTTCCGTTCATCACTGAAAGGAAACGATTACTTATAAACAAGTTAATGAGTAAAAAAAAAACTTTTTGATTTGATGGAGATATGGTGAATTTCGAAAAATTATTTTAATCATAGAGAAGGATTTCAACTGAGGAATAACATTGAATAACAGATTCTAGTTTTATTGTGAGGAAAAATCTAGAATCTCATGGTCTTACAATGATACTGTTCGATCACTGAATTGAAATTCTATTATCCACATTTTCAATTGTTGTCAGCTTGGTACATAATGTTTGTTAAATTTTCACTCGAGCATATTCAACACAGACTACTATTCTAAGTAACTGGATATTATAATATACCCTTATTCGACAAACAGGTAAGTGAAACATAGATTATGTGTTTACTGTCACTGATCAAAGGGTCATTTCTTAACTTTTATATATATTATTGTTCATTCAGTGATTATAAGTAGTATCATTAGACTTGCTTAATGTTCACCTCCTGCATGGACTGACATCATGAAATATTGTTAACTTTAACAAGATTTCATCTAAGGTTAAAATGATAGATAATCATAATTCTTAGAACATCATAAATAATAATGAAATGTAATATAAAAATATAATTATCTATATTCTTACATGTTCAGGTAAATTCTTTAAATTGGAATATTGAACACATAACAGATTGATTACATCGTGAAGAATAGGCATTTCAATTGTTAAATCATCAATACCAATGAAAATAACATATTGAACCAATGGATTTAATGGACGAATATCTTCGAAATGATTCAATCTTTCTTCTTGAAAAAATACAATAGGAAAGTACACATTCATGTCAATAACACATAAGTTTATAATAAAACTAACCTCAAATCGCAGTCTGGCTGTACTTGCCATTATTTGAAACTGAACAGAAAGTTAAGAATCAGCTTATATGATTGTATTAATATTTTATGAGAAACCAGGGTTGTATATACAGTGAACTAGTGTCAGGACTAGTGTAATGTAATATAGCCATCAGATTTTATCGATTGTCTTACAATCTGACCAGTCGTTTGAATGACCTGATATTGAGGCATAGTTTGTTCAGACTAAGACGACTGTAGCTAATTGAATAAAGAAGCCATAATTCTAGACTTCTGACTAAACCGTAATTGTGAAGAAAGTAATTTTCTCATGAAATTTTAATAAACCAAAAAAATGAATTTACATCACAACGTGTACAATGTATACTCCACTTTTCATCATATGTGTTTACAAAACTTATTAAAATAAAAAGTTATTGAATTCAGTTTTTTAGAAGAGCTTCTATATCAATGCATTAAATTGTCTAAGTGAAAAAAACTAAAATACAGATCCATTTGTTTTTTTGTGAATGTCAGTGATTCGAAATTTGTTACCTCAATGAATACTTCATATTAATAATAATAATAATAATAATAACTGTATAGTATAGTATAGTAAAGTAGTAGTGTTGGTAGTAGTAGTAGTAGTAGTACAGACTAACTTACCTAATTGTTACTGATTTGGAATCAAGTTAAAAATCATAATATTTCAACTACTATGTGATGAAGTGTAAAAACGGGTTATTATTATCTCTTATTTAAGCAGTAACTTGGTTTACCAGACAGTGACTATTATATCTAAACCTAAACAACATATGAATCTTAAATCTTAGTCGTTAAACTGTTCGATTGATTAATATTCTGGAGGCTGTTTGTTTCAAAATTGTGTTTTAGGTTAGGATTTTTTTCCTTTGTATTCGTACATTATTTCGTGAGGAGATCCTCGGAGTTCCAGTGAAAAGACGTGACCAGTTGAGTTCAACCCAGTCTGGTGTAGGCAGTAACTACCAAATACAAATGGGCGAGGTCATGCAAAATCCCTAGATCAATCAGAGTTAGACATTAACACCGTTGAATGCCGGACCAGTGGTCCAGAGGTTAGGCGTTCGTGCACAAGATCGAAGGTCCTTGGTTCGAATCCTGCGAGTCGCAGCAGTAGTGGATACGCACTGTTGATGAGTCCCATAACAGGACGGAACGGTCATTCAGTGCTTCCAGGTTTCTAATGGTGGTCCAACACTGATGAATGATTTCAATGAGTAAAAACACCAATCTCCATAACTCAAATTGAATTAGCCACATTCATTTAAAAACAATAAATAATATCAGCGATAGATAGTTCTCTAACAAACTTGTAATGAACCAGTTCGTTTGAAGATTCATTCAAGTTACAAAAATTATAACAGAATTTTATAATTTCTTATGTTCGAATTCGTTAAAATAAAAGATAATTTGTGTGTTTCGTGTTAAACAACACATAAAATAACTTTAGTTAACTTTCATATTATCCAAAATAAGAATAAATACTCTTGGAACAATAAATAAGTAGGATAAAACTTATTGTGTAGGCCATGATGAAAACAAACGTCAAGTCAACTGTTTTCATCATAATCCTATGTTCACTAATGGCTGGTTTTTATCAAAGAGTTCCATAATTTCAGTCAAAAAAATACTAACACTGTTACTGTAAATCGAATTATGTCTTAGCGATTGAAAAAGAATACGGACGGACCAATAATAACAGTGGTAATAAGCGTAAGAAATGTTTTTGTCAATGTTGGACATTAGTAAGCGGTGGAATATAGGAAACGTGTTTCTTCCCACATTGTACTCATCAGCTTCATTTTTGTGTTACTATTCACACTAACACTCGAACCTAGTAACTGTTGCTTCAAATGCTCAACGTTTCGTCCCTTGATCTACTGTTTCCAGAAGTGCAAGATAGTGAATTCGAGTTTAAGAGTGGACGTTTACACGGAAAGGATAACACAATAAGCTGTCAAATTTGAAATTGGACGAAATACGATGTCTACATTTCACTGTTTGTCATTATTTAACTTAAATAAAAACTTATGACTGAATGATGAAATCCAAGTAATCTGCTCAAGATGATATATTAATAGGGACTGAATAATTCCAGACTTTGACTATGACAAAGGGAAAAAACAAATCCTGATTTATGAAAAATACTGCATTATGTCTCATTATTATACACATTCTATGGTAATTAGGAAAAATATTAAGCAAAAAATTCAAATTCACACTTCGATTCTAGTTGGAATATTGCTTTATATTACCATGAGGTGCCAAATAAAATGCTAACAATGTGTTATTTGAAGAATAAACCAATGATTGAAAATTATTTTGATTAATTATTCTACATCTATTGTTTTGAAAGTATTTAAACTATTTTGAAGTGATATGCGAAAATTATTTGTCTAATTACACACCCACACAGAAAGAGTATTTGCCTCGATCGAATAGATGTCAATTCAACTAACCAATTATATTCTTCTAAGGATGTATTTGTAAACCACTGTGTAATTAACAAACTTACTACGAGTTTATTGTTGAAAATAGCTTTAAATATCTGTCAATTAATAATAAGAGATTGTTCCAGTGGTCATTGTCAGTCACGCCAATCATCATAAATGACAGTTTGGAAATATATGAAGTCATTTACTTGCTTGGTTTGTCAACCGATATTGTCACTGTTTTATGGTTTAGAATCTTACTTGTGTTTCAAATACAATAGGATTTCTAATACTTAATCCAATTATGATTCTTGCTTGAACGCTGTTTGAGGTGATTCAGAAGACAATTTGAACTTATTTTCTATCTTTACTAAATCTCACAACTCGGAATGTATTCATAACTTCTATAAAAATCAAACTATGTGGAATATTCAAAACTGCGTAACCTTTATCTGTAGAGTCAAAATTATTGAAGTTGTGAAGGGTTTTTTTTAGTTTTATTTAAAGCTCTTTAACATTATGTACATATAGATTCATAGTTAGACAGACAAAAATAATACGGAGAAATGAAGAGTAGTGTACCAGAGTATATTACAGCAGAAAAAAAGATGATTCAAAGAAACATGATGAAATTGATGCTTATTAACTAGAAAAGAATGCTGACTAAGATTATCTTTATCAAGTCTTTCTCAGTGCTAATTGGATTCTATTAATTAAGTAGATCATGTAAAAGATTACATACTAGTTAAAAAATAATACATGTACAACTGTAATAAACTGATTAAAGAATATAACTCTTGTTTATCAGATGGTGTGACGTTGAGAATCCATTTTAAAAATCAAGCATTTTACAGTGCATATCAGCTGATCACTTTGTTATCGACATTATTTTCCGGTATACTCAATTTGTTGAGAGAGAAAAAACTCAATTAATTGTGAACATCACTTTGAGAGAAACATTGACATTTATCTAGGGAAATTTACTTGCCATGCAATAAAATGATTATTAAAAGTAAAATTAATTAGTCTAACTTGCATTGTTTAGGTTTAAGTTTAGACAAAAAAACATTGTAAACAAAGTAAATACTTTCGAGATTAAATGGATTATGTCTAGCAGTGGAATTCTAGACACTGGTTTCATTTCATTCTAGACTTAGATGAATATTATCTGCATCCGAATGTGAATATTCATCACAATACTAGAAGACAACATCTTCCCTGCACTTCAGATACCTAACACGTTATTCCCTATGCTAATGAGTCTAGATAGTCACTAACTTATTCAGCAGATATTTTTATTATTTATAATAATGACAGTACCATTAGTAATATTATTATTATTATTACTATTATTAATTTAAGGCAAACATTCAAAATCCGATTATACTAAACATTTGTTGCTTTATCTGTTATTCGTTAGAACCATGTGTGTTAATTCAAAAGGATGAATAATCTAATACTAGACTTTACACTTAAAATGTTGCTTCCAGATACTGAATATAAACGTCTTACTCAGTATTCTCATTTGAAATCAGTTATTTTTGGTCTAATACATACAAGTTATTGACATCTTATAAAACTTAACTCATTCATTATTAGAACCAACCATGTAACTAGATGAAGAACAACTAATGACAACATTCTATACAGCTATTCATTCATTTTCCATTTGATTAAAATAGTAAAATATCAGACTTGTTAAATGCGAACAAACCTTTTAACTGTACAGGATTACAAGGTACAGTTTCATTTGTTCGTTCAAATTTATCACAAATATTCACATTATCTATAATCATATCTTCTACAATTCGGTTATCATTCTGATCATAATGATTTGAGGAACATAAATTATTTTTTGTGTGACTATTCGATATGTATTCCGATTTAATTGATAAATCTTTAATTTCATTCAATTCATTGATAAAGATATTATTTGCAAAAGTATTAGAATTTACTGTGTTCAGTGGATAATTCGATAAGTGATTGTATTCATTATTCAAATAATTTTGTTTGCACAATTCAATGTTCATTTTTAAACATTCATCTTTTAAATTTGTTTGATAATGTTGAATGTGATTTGGAAATTTAGATGAATTTAAATAATTTTCAGTGAATTTATTTGTAAGAACACCATTCATTGCTGAAGCTAATGATAAAAAATAGTCCGTTGATAAATTTGATGTAGATGATGATGATGATGAAATTGTAGAAGTGAATTTATTTTTTGCATTTTCCGTAGAACTATTCAATGAAAATTGTTCTTTTGTTGAAAGTAAACAAGTTTGCATTAGATGATTGTTGTTACTTGTGAAGTCACTAGTTAAGTTGATATTAGTACTATGATGATTACTTATACTACTGTTACAATCCAAAATACTTGTTACTGAAGAGAATGCAGATTGTGGCTTATCGTCATTAAGAACAACTTTGATGTTGTTTCTTTTATTATCCTTACTATTGAAAGGTGAACTACAAGACGTTTTCAAGACATTATGCTCGTTTTGAGTTAAAGTTGGTAAGCAAACGTTTGATGAAGACAGAGGAGTACGACAACAAGAAGTATTTATTAGTGACGTGTATTTATCCATTGGATAAGTCATTTCTTGAGATGACTGATATGAATAATTATGTAAAATAGACTGATCTTTATCAACAGAATTTGGATTAAAATGTTTTTTTGAATTATATGAATACCTTCTGTTTGTATTCAATTCAGGTAACGATGATGTGGAAGTATTTGTTGAAAGTGTTTTTAGACAATCATAAATATGAGGTGAATATAAATTATTAAACCACATCAATGGATTATTCATATCATTATTATCGTTAATTACACTAGTAGTATTCAAGTCTGCTGGCTTATTAATTCGCATTTTATACTCATTTCTTAAGGTCGGAGATGAATGTGTTGAACTGGACGCTACAGTGTACTTTTGTTTAAATGTTTCCAACATATTTAAGCAATTATTATGTTTTGTCATGTAATTGAGCATTCCTGGTTTAAAAAAGCACATTCTATTCCTGACTCCTTGAGTATGATGAAGTCCTCTACCTCGACCACCACCACCTCGAGTACCACAACAGTTCCTTTTATTCACTGTTGACTGAAAACGTGGAATTTTGGGAGGCAGTTCAATTCTTATTGGCTCATCCACTGCGGGGTCAGCAACTGGAACATCGCCTTCATTTTTTTCGCCACCAAAGAAATGACCACTGCATACTCGTAACTAAATAAAAACAATGTGAATTATCAAAATAATGTAGAATATCAGTTATCGCTTCATTTTGCATTGGTTATTTGAATCTTCTCATTGATAATTAGGACTGTAATTGATCGGTCTCTTTGGCATATGTGCATCCTGTGCGGACTGCCTTGTTATTGCCTTTAGATTACAAGAATCTCCATCAGAGGTGGCTATTGGCTTTCTGCTATCTGGACTCAGTACCTAAGTGGATAACACGATGGCGTCCGAAGCGGAAGGTACTGGGTTCGAGTCCTGGGAAGGATACCTACTTTAAAATGAAGGTATATCTAACTATCGAGTACTAAATAGGATGAAACGTACGTCAAGGATTCCACTGCTAGCCACTATTCACCGCTGATCTCTAGTTGTTACTGATTATAAAAGTAAGTTCAATGATATTATTAATTGACTAATGTCAACACATTAAGACAGATTTCCATTCTTATCACGTATTATCGATACAAATAATGGTATTGTTATCTTCAGACTATTACATTTGTGCTCAATAATGTGAACTATAAAGTGTTTTAAATCGGGACAACATAACAACGTTTTTCACCATGGTATTCACAGTAGTACTCTACGTGATGTAATTTCATTAATTAAACAGCCGACTAATTAATCAAATCTTCAAAAACCACTAATTTATATTGACTGTATTTATTTAATTATTATAATCATTGTAAATTTTAACGCCTGAAAACCAAGTCATATTATGTTTGAAATAATATTCCTTTTGTAAGGATGATGATGAAGACTAAATTTATTCCTAATAAAAGCATTAGACTAACATGTTATTCACCTGTCAATAAGAAAAAAATCAATCACTTCAATGAATTACCTGACTAACAATTGTTTCCTCAGTTCTACCAATTGCTTCTAACCATTTCTTGCGTAATATTGCAGGTTTCTTTGGTACACGATAAAAATGTCGATTGTCTTCAGCACCACGATAACGCGAACGAAATCGACAATTTGGAAATCCACAAGTTGTCGGCATTATTATTATTATTATGAATATCCTCAAGTTTTAACTAGACAGTAAGGCATTTAATTGATTTTTTCAAAAAATGTAATAAATAGTGTTTTTCAAAAGTAGTAGTTATTAGTAGTAGTCAAAATAACAAAAACACAAACAAGTTATCACACTAGTTTTTTTTATGAACAGCTTCAAATTATTTGTTAATGAATTATCGATTTGATTAGGGTAGTCATAAAATTTGTTTGAAGATACGCTGATGATTTTTCATTATAGAGTTATAGAGATCGTCGTTTAATATTAAAATCGTGAATCGACCATCGTTAGACCATCGTTAGAAACTGGAAGCGCTGGATGGCTGTTTCGTCCTGGACTCATCTACTGACGGTCCTGAGTTCGATCCTTGGGAGTAGCGGGAGTCGTGGGTGCTCAGTGCTGATGAGTCCCATACCAGGACAAAACGGCCGTCTAGTGTCTTCAATTTTTAATGGTGTTCTAACGATGACTGACACACGATTTAAAGGTATTACTTTAATTCGCAAAATAGTTCTTGCATTTATTCATTTGAAAATACATAAGAAACCATTTCATACATTTTTAATTAATACTAATTTGAAATGCATATCTATTTCCTGGTTCTACTAATATACATCCATTGTATCGAAAGTAGTGGTAATTTTTCAGATGAAGTTTATTTTTAATACTGTTGAAAAATGTCTTTGAGAAAGATTTTCCGACAATAATGTAACGTTCACGGACAATTGTCAATAATTGGTGAAATAGTTCATAAAGTTCCTAATACGAAAAAATGTACAATGATCGTCTCATTCCTTCTTGTAACTGACACTCACTGTAAACAAGGAAATGTAAATGCACTAAAACATTTTTTTAAAAATGTTTAATTGCCCATAAACGAACAACAAAAGACAACCTACAAGGTTTCTTTCAAGAGTAGATTGTAAAATCAAAACTTCTAGAAGAAATTCGAATTAATTTTTTAAATAAAAATTATGTTTAGTCTATATAATGGCGGAAAATTTGAAACAATTCAACAAATATTTGATTACTACCCTTCATTGATATATTTCATGAGCAAAACCAAGTGTGAAAATAATTTAAAATAAACATAAATCTGGATGCGTGTACTGATGCTGTATTTTTCCCACAAATGTTTCCTAGATGTTAGTGTGATTAACCTAAACTGAATAAATTGCTACTGTAGGAAACTTTTAGAGATTGTTGAAATTTCATGTATTACACTATTCGGCAACCGTAGTTAAACAACCATTGAAAACTAGAAATCACTGGAAAGTTGATTTACTTTAGTAGAGAACACACCACCAATGCATATCTATGACCTCTCTTCCTTAGGTTGGAACACAGAGTCTTTGACCTCATTCCCGAATGCTCAGTGTCTAGTGAGAAGCTATGATCAATATATTTCAACAGTTAGGTAGGAAGAAGCTACTCACAATTATGTATCGAAGATAATCGTACAGTATCACAGATTGATTAAAGTTTGATATGTAAACGCTTGCATGCAAGATCGATAATCTCAGGTCCCATCCCTTGTTGGGCTCGTGGATGCGTATTATTTTGAATTCCCATGCCAAAACAAAGTATTTGTTCAATGTCTCCTGGTTTTCAATGGTTGTCTAGTTAAGATCACTTAATGATGCAATCCATGTCAATAACTTCTATCAAGCGACAGATCAGCAACCAACGCCATTCAGTTTGCTCATTAAAACTAATGAAAAGAATTGCTTCGTTACTAAGTGTTCGTTTTAACTTTTCAATCTTGGACATTAAACTCAAAACATTGAATACATGTCAATAATTAAATTATTCACTGTAATTAGATGTATACGCTTCACTAGGTTCATAACATAATTACCGATAATCTGATATTGAATTAGCATATTAACTCGTGATGAAATCCTTTCTTATCCAAGAATCATAACCTTAATATCAATCAGTTATAGTGGTTGAGGAAATATCAACTAATAGAATCATATTATCTATGAAAATTGTTTTATTATCATTAATATGTGTTACTAGTAAAATCAGATTTCAGGAACCCGCTTAAATATTTATTTTATAACCATTCAGAAAATATTGAAAACACTAAAAATGATTTTCACTTCATTTTTTTACTTAATAACGAATAATATTCACTGGCTGTAGAAGTTATTGACGAGTTTTGATAATAAAAAAAACTTGATAACAAATCCTCATAACGTTTAACTTGTATTAGAATTATCAGAGTAATTGATAATATTCTTCGCTGTGTATAACTTTTTCTAAAATAATCCACAAGTACACTAAAATTCATTTCTGTGAAATGAAGTACATTAACTTATGAATCCTTATCTTGAAGACATCTTTTTACTACGTAATTAAATCTTTGTAATTAAATTAAAAATATATTAAAATGGAGTTCGACATAATATTTTCTACCTTGAAATCATGAATAAATCATTATTGAGTAAAATAACGATTTCCATAATACTATAATGCGAAATAGTGTTTCGTACTTTAATTCTTCAGTCTAGTATTACATTAACTGATTAATATTATTTTCGTTTCAAGGGTTTATTCATTACAAATTGATCCTCGTAGAGATATCAAGAAAGCAACGAAGAGTTATGTTGTCCTAGTTTAAGACTCCTAATCGATTCCTATCTGCGGTCTCTTCAGGGATTAAACCTATAGTCTACAGATGTGGCTACTGACACTTAGCTATGTGAATTACTTTGCAAGCTTCCTTATGTTCCTAAATGTTTGATAATAACTTAAGAAAGACAGAAAAAAACATATAAATTAAACTATTTTTCATGAAATTCCTTCAATTAAATTATTATTATTCTTTTTAAAATAAATAAGCATGGTATTCATGAATTCCAATTGTTAATAAATAAACTTTTGAGAATTATGAAATTATGAAATCACTTCTTTTTTTTTTCAGTACCTCCTTATCAACTTGGATTTCTAACATTGTTGTTAACTGATGATTAAATTAGAAACAAATTTCCCAAGATTAGTAAACACATTTTCGTTTTCGAGAATAAAATTCAGTGAAATTAAGATTTTGAAAGTCCAATTAACATATTCTAGATTAAATACTGTCTTACTTTATCAATAATATTTTACAACTGTTGCTTTGATCGGTAGAAGAAATATGATAAATTACAAGTATGACTAAATAAATATATTTAAACAGCCATAACAGTCAAGCACTCAGTAGTTAGTAGTTCTGAGGGGGAGGTCGATGAGTTCTGATGAGAAACTACGATCAATCATCGACTGAAATACTTCCAGAGACCTAAGTGTCCAGGGTTCAATCCTTAGCGGTTTCATAGATGAGCACTTTCGAAGATGCCCATACTGATATGAAACAAATGTCCAATATTCCAAGGTTTTCACTATTTGTTTAAAATCAGTTAATGATGAAAACTTATGAAAAAAACGCAATCAACATTTACATCTTATCATTTATAAATTAAAATTAAAAGCAATAAATTCATATAAAACTTACAAATATATCTAACTACAGAACATATTCCAAATTATCTGATCAGTTAGTTAGTGAATAAATGATGATATATTTTTTTTTCGAAACTGGTGTTCATTTATTTGAGAAAATAATATCAAGAAACATAGCATTTATTTACACCCCTTTTGTAATTAATTTTCCTACCCTTCATCAGAAGCCACCAAAGCTCAGGCAGATAAGTTATAAACTTCTTTTCATTTATTTCCCACCACACCACCAGTTTATCTCAGCCTTTATACCATATTTAGGTTTATAATACACATCTACTCACTAATCTGGGCATGCATTTCGGCACTGAACAAGATGAGGGGACATATTTAACCTGATTTTTTTTAACGATTTACTCAAACCCCACATGTATGCATCCATAGTCTAATATAAAGATGGCTAAACAACCGGTCTTTATTTTAACTAAAAATATGGACTTGGCTTTTGATGAATTCATCTTTTCCGCGGTTACATATGTATGTAAACACATTCATATAAAGTCACATATTTCTATCTCATTTAACCATTAGGTTTCACAGGAACTTTTTGTAGGCTAGACAATATACTAATAATATATATGGGGTAAAAATGTGAACACACATCATGGAGTATTGAGAGAAAAATCTGTCCAAGAGAAAATGGTAAGTGAAATATATGGAAGAGGTAAATAGTGACAGACACCATAATGGGCTAACGAAAAAATGGCAACGAATAGAAAATTGGTAGTTATCGACGGTTGGTTGTCTATCATAGCCAAAAAGATAAAGGGAGAGAAAGATAGTAGATGTATATCTAACTTCCAAATCAAATGCGTTTCAGAATAATCGTTAGTTCATTGCGATAGTAGTAGTAGTTAGTCTAAAAATTTCCACCAATTCCATACTAGAAGACCACAGAATAATAGAAAGAATCAATCATGCGCCTATATACACACACACACACATATATACATTATAGGAGAGAATCTATAAACTAGTGGACGTGGAGAAAAAGTTATCGGGCTATAAAGTTGACTGAGATTGGACAAATTTTCATAAGAGTGACTTCTTTTTATTTTAAGGGCGAAATGAAGTAACCAAACACATTCCAACCATTATTTGAAAATTATTTCTCTACCTCCGCCCAATATTTTATGAAAGGGGAGTTATGGAAGAAATGCATGGCAGTTGTCGAATTTGTTGTGTAGTGGTATCAAAGAATCAATGTGCGAGAACAAAAAAAATAGTTATGAGATAAATGATCAATATGTCCTTAAGATGATCATTATAATTTTCCAATTAGAATTATGAAGATTATTGTTTTTATACATTGGAATCATTAATCAATCATTGTTAGAACACCATTAGAAACCAGGAAACACTGGACTGACATTTCGTCCTGCTGGTATGGGACGCATCAACAGTGCGCATTCACGACTCCTGCACCTCTAATTGAAAAATCGTCAAATGTGCTCACTTGTGACTAGCTTCGTGAGGAAATT